CCCCTGCATCATCAATGTCACTTTGAGATGAATTCTTTACAATCCTTAATGTGACAAACAGGATGGATCCCTCCCCACTACCTGCTCACTCACTGCAATTTCCCCTTACTCTGCTTCCCACCATGCATACAGTAAAGAAAAGGTGTTTCCTTGTGAACACTGCACAGTTACCCTCTGGTTAAGTGGGATGGTGGGATTCAGAGTCCACCTTCATTGTCCTTTTGTAAACTTGTCATGATAAAATTCTACAGCTTTGTCAGCTCCCTAAACGAACATCAATCTTTACTTTTGAGAATTTTGTACATAATGAAATTAATCTAGATGTCATTTGACAGTCTAAAACAAATGGTATTGTAAAAATGCTTAGCATGGACCAAGAATCTGAGTAAACTACCATCCCTCTAACAAAAATTCCTTGTAGAAGGAGAGTGGATCAATTTTCTCAGGGAAATTTGAAATAAAGGGTACTTTTCATCTTAAAAATGGAACTCAGGAGGTTGTTGAACTAAGTGTGCTGTGCATTCAGTATTCACAGGGTAAAACATAAAAGAAATAACATGGATTTTTTAAAAAGATATTTTCCACTGCTTGCTGCTTCTATCAAACCACCAGAGAGGTGATTTGAGAAGGGCATTGTGGAATAAAGACACTGTTCTGACAGCAAACATGAATGAAATAAAATTGGCCCAAGGCTTTGGTGCTGGCACCCACATGGAGAGCTGAGACACAGCAGCATGCTGGCTTACTGCACTAGAGAATAGAACTAGTGCAATTTTTAGGGGAGTGTGAAGCAAAGATGAAAGAGGAAACTATTAAAAACACGCATACATGTAGAGTTTAAAACAGACTTTTCAGGTTGCACGAATTCCTCCATTGCAAGAACTTACCCATTCACATAACAGGAGTACTGAAGTTCAGTTATAATCTTTTTGTCTCCATTGTCAAGGGAAGATTTGGAGATTTGGGACAGGGCCGGAATCAGCTGTGTCCTGATTTTTAAGAGTGGAGAGAAGAGAGAGAATGGAGGTCTCTGCTTGGGCATTGCTGAGATTCTCTCTGGCTTCTGGCTCAAACATAGATGATGCCTTGAAGCAAAGCCCAAACATGCTTGATTTTACTCTCCTGAGTAGCTTTTTATAAATATATTTTATTTGAAAAACAGACAGAGAGAGATTGAATGATTTCTCATCTGCTGGTTCACTCCGCAAATGACTGCAACAGCTGAGGCTGTTTCAGGCCAAAGCCGGGAGCCTAGAACTCAATCTTGGTCTCCCATGTGGGTGCCAGGGACCCAAGAAGTTGAGCTGTCACCTGCCGCCTCCCAGAATGTGCATTACCAGGAAGCTGAAATTGAAAGTGGAGCCAGGACTCGTACTAGGCACTCTGTTATGGGATGCAGCCATCACAAGCAGTGACTTAAACTAAATGCTGTACCAGACCCTCACCTCGTCTCCTGGGTGAGACGAGGAAGATTTTCCCTAAAAGTGAGGAAGGTGCTTAAAATGGCTTCTACTCAGTTAGGCATAAAAGAAAGACGGAAGGAATAAAAACAGCAGCAAGAGAAAAGAACAAGCTTACGTCAGACTTCCCAGGTAAGGTGTTTTTGACAAATTGTTAGACTCTAAGAAGAAAAAGAAACTCGGGCATTTTAACCCTGCTTTAAAAATGGTCCTTTGCCCAGTCTTTTTAGACAAACCACAAAATACTGAAGCAGAAGCCTGCAGAGCAGATTCCGAGTGCCTTTCCTGCATTATTAGAGGAGAACAAATCGCACAGCCTGGGGTGTTATGACCACACTAGGCGTGTACAGGGAAATATGGCTGCTAACCATTCCCACAGCTTGCTAATTGTTTTGCTCTCACTTGAGAAGCTGAAACAATGCAGGATGACTTTAGGAAAGATGCTTCTTGAATTTGTTTCCTGCTCTTTAAATCTCCAAATGAACAAACAAATGACGGCTATGTAAAAGCTCAAATTAAAAGTGCATTTTAATCTCATTCCTTAAATAATTAAATCCATCATTTATTTTTCTTCTTAATCAATGATTCAGCCTGGAAGGGAGACCACTTTAGGCATGTCTAGTATTGGTAATAACACGGAAATAATGTGGTGTTAAAAGCCTAGTTCTAGTTCTTATTAGCCATATGACCTTGGGCAAGACGCTTACAAAAATTCTTGAGCCTTGGGTTTTTATACATAAAAATGGAATTAATATCTATTTTTCAGGGTTATCATGAAGATTAAATGAGATGTGACCAATTGCTTAGCATAGTGCCTGGCACATGTTAGATACAAATGATTTCACTTCTGAGGAGTAAATATTTAGATAGATTTCATTTACCACAAAGGATCTATAAAAGAAAAATCAAAAGGATATAGGTTTTCAAGTTTTTCAAGTTCAAATATTTTCCCAATTACAGAAGTAATATTCTTACAAAAATTAAAAAAAAACAAAGAGAAAAGATTGTTATTCATAATCTCACCATCTTTAATATGTTTGTTAACAGTTATACATATTTATATATTCTTTTAAAGTCAACCAGCTCTTTAAGTGAAAGCAAAGCAAATAGAATCTGAATTCTATTTTTTTATTTTCTACATATAACCCATTAGCACTTCCTTTTATTATTTAAAACTCTTGACACATACTGTAAATTTTATTGGTTGAATATTCTATTAAATGTCTCAAAAACATATAGGAATTTTCAATATTTTGCTATTGAAGTTCACGTTAACATTAATATATACTTAGACTTTTCAAACAAATTGAAGGATTTTCCACAAGGAATTTCAGGATAAATGATATGAACATTTTTAAGAATTCTGAAGTATTATGCAACTGCTTTTCTATAGAATTGGGTAAATTTATATATCATTACTAATGGGAGAGTCTCAGCTTCTTTTCACATCAATTGATATTGAATATTATTAATAAAAATGGTATTTTGATGTTTAATTTTTATTTGTTACTGGTTGAACGAGTGGTCATTGAGACCCTCATATTTTCTTATCTATTTAAATGTATTCCCTCTAATTTCCACATGTAGAAGTTTGAAGAAAGATCCCTACCTTACACCTTATACAAAAATCAACTTAAAATCAATCAAGGATTTAAATTTAAGACTGCAACCATAAACTATTAGAGGAAAACAGGAGAAACACTTTTTCTTTTTCTTTCTTTTTTTTTTGTTTGTATAAGACCCTGAAGCACAGACAATAAAAGCAAAAATAGACCAATAGGATTACGTCAAATCAAGAAGCTTCTGTATTGCAAAGGAAACAAAGTGAAAAGACAACTGACAGAGTGGGAGAAAATATTTGCAAATTATGCATTTGATAAAAGATTAGTATCCAGAATATATAAGGAACCCAAGAAATTCAACAACAGCAAGACTAATAATCTAGTTAAGAAATGGTCAAAGGATATGAATATACAGTTTTCAAAAGAGGAAATACAAGTGGCCAACAGACTCATGAAAAAATGTTCAGGATCTCTAGCCATCAGGTAAATACTAATAAAAACCACAATCAGGTTTTAGCTCACTTCAATAAGAATAGCTACCATCCCAAAGTCAAAATACAACAAATGAAGGCAAAGCTATGAAGAAAAAGGTACCCTAAGAAAACTAACAGTAGACCTACCATATGATCCAGCTATTCCACTTCTAGAAATGTATCCAAAGACAATGAAATCAGCATATGAAAGTGCATATGAAGATACCTGCACTCCCATGTCTATTGCATCCCAATTCACAGTAGCACAATATGGAATCATCCTAGATGTTTATCAACTGATGACTGGATAAAGAAAATGTGGTATATATACATGAGGAAATATTACTCATCCATAAAAAGAATGAAATTCTAACATTTTCCAAAAAATGGAGGAAACTGGGCCGGTGCCATAGCTCACTAGCCTAATCCTCCGCCTGCAACGCCAGCACCCTGGGGTTCTAGTCCTGGTTGGGGCGCCGGATTCTGTCCCGGTTGCTCCTCTTCCAGTCCAGCTCTCTGCTGTGGCCCAGGAAGGCAGTGGAAGATGGCCCAAGTGCTTGGGCCCTGCACCTGCATGGGAGACCAGGAGGAAGCACCTGGCTCCTGGCTTCAGATCGGCACAGTGTGCCGGCCGTAGTGGGCATAACGGAAGGATGACCTCTCTCTCTCTGTCTGTCTGTCTCTCTCATTGTCCAGCTCTGCCTGTCAAAAAACAAAAAACAAACAAAAAAATGGAGGAAACTGGAGATTATTATGCTAAATGAAATAAACCAGACACAGAAAGACAAATTCTACATGTTTTCTGTTATATGTGGAAGTTAATATAGAGAGAATATAAAATATGCATGTCATCTTATTTGGTATATAGAGAAGTATATATTGTTCTCACTGAATCAAACCATCTACATAGCAATATATCTTTCTTTGTTCATTTTGTGATCATTGTCATGAATGACAATGATGTTATGTGATATTAATATCCCTGTTTTCAAGAAAAAATTGTATGTGTGTATATATATAATATTTACCTATTAAGTGAATAAAGCAAAATATTAAATGGTTAAATCTTAAAAATAATTAAAAATAAAGCATGTGATAGGTAAAACTGAAATAAAATGTACATCCTCTATAGAAAATATAAACACTTTCTCACTTTGCTGTGAGTATTTTTCTACTTTTACTTTTTTATAACATGGAAATTGTTCTACATTTTCAAAGTTGTATTTAGTCCTTTTTCATGTAGTTTCTTTTCTTTTGATGTTGCTCTTTAAGGTGGGTTCTGGGCTTTTTATTTATTTTTCTTTTGAAAATTTTTGCCACTCAAAGGATTTCTATTCTGTTCCAAAAGAGGATCTGTTATTTCCTTTTTGGATGACCCATGATAGGAATTGAAAGGTACAGTTTTGATGAAAAGATTACAAATGCCATTCTCAAACAGGATGAAGATGATGATTTTTATCTTTTTTTTAATCAAATGCTAACAAAATTTTATGCTGTGGTTTCAGGTTTGGAGAGAGTAGAATGAGTTGCTGGCCACAAATGGAATATTACAGTTAGAAGTTTTCCAGATGTGTGGGACAGTTACATGAGGAGCTACTGGAGACAACGATGCGGTGCAATAAGCAGAGGTGCTCCCAGGACTCAGCTACTCTGAAACAGTATTCCTCTGTGCTTTTGTCTGAACCTACCTGGGACAGATCCAACTGAATCTGGCACTAGGAACCTGTGATCAGCAAGAGAGATGGATGCTTTCTGAATAGAGAGAAATCTACAGAAATGTGAGTATTCTTTACATGGCCAGATAAACAGTATAAAACACCATGGAAATGAATGTGTAGCCAATTCTGTAACCTCTGCATTTGTTCATCTAAAATGTATACATGGCCAGACACTTGTGATAAGCATCAAGTTCTTAGGATACTTTCTGTGAAGCACTCAGTTATGGTAAAAACTCTCTTAGTAAGGTGAATTTGTTGGGAACTTTTTCAACCTTGTAAAGAGAGAGCATTGATGAAAAACCTACCACTTACTTCGTATATATGATCATGCCCATGGGATGTCCTTTGAAATCTACAGAATAGCTACTGGGACTAATGAGTGAGGATGGCAGGAAAAGGCCTGCCCGATTGTTGCATACCGTGCTAGACACTGGAATTTTTTGTTAAATGATGGGAACCAAGGGATGCTTCTAACCCCAGAGTGAAGGATCTGGATCTCATTTGAGAAAGTTTCCTCTGACAGGTGAGTGTAGACTGGACTGACTCTTAAAGTTAGGGGGCAAAGTGGCTGAGAGAATTCTTCAATAGTTAAAATGATGAGGCACTGAATGATGATGGGATGGCCAGAGAGCAGAGAGTGAACCTGAGACTCATTTAGGAGGCAAGAACATCTGACTAGGATGAATATGGGTGCAAGGGAGTAAGAGGAGTCAAGAACTGTGTTCAAGTTGTCTCAGCATGTTTGAAACCGAGTTTGCATCTGAGCAGTTTGAAAATGCCCAGTGAAAACAATGACATTTAACACTGAGTTGAGAAAGAGAAAATAAGCAAAAATTGAAGTTGTGTTTGATCAAATGAACAGAAACATATCACTTTTTTTTTTAACTCAAACCCGCAGGCTAGGATTATACTCTGTCAAATGTTTGCACTAAGTGATTATTTTCATGGCCTCATGTTTTTGGTGAGAGGGATATATTTTTTTTTCTTATTCACATCTTCTCACCCTCATCAACCTCATCAAAAGTGATTTTAGATTAGAATGATTACATTCCACAAAGTTCCACTAACTAAAAATTGTTGTGTTTTCTTTCAGTAGGTCTCTGGGAAGCAGCTCTAAGTTTGAACCAATGGTAACCTACTCTGGAACTAATGCTACTTTCTAAAGATTAAGATCCACAGTGACCTAAAGTTTGAACATAATAGTTTCACATCTTAACTGTTTTCCTTTATGTTTTCAATTCCTTAATCTAAAGTGTGAAATATTAGCAGTGTGGGAAAAGACTTTTGGGTGAAAAATGTCTGTGCTTCCAGGAAAGCTTGCTGGTTTTCCTTTTCATTCCTGTTCATTTGGGAGTAGATATCAGTCCTTCTTGTTCTGTGGCTGTTATTTGAGGGCAAAAATACAAATAGCCAAGAATATATTTTAAAAACTGAAGAGCATCAAGACGTCACAGCCTGAGTTGGCCATAAAGATTTACAATTACATTTCCATCACAAAGACCCTGGCCCATCATATTTGGCCATCTCCAATTATGTTTTGATTTCTGTTTCTTTGGCGGGACAACACCCCAATTAGACAGATGAGCGTTCATTTCTGATTTTGGAGCCCATCCTGGCTGGCCTAGGTTACTCCAGGACTCCTGTGGTTTTTCTCAACTAAACTGTGCTGTGGTCATTTTATGATCTTGCCCTCCGTGAATCCTTTGCCTATGAGAAACTCCCCAGGTTAATACACTCACAGTAATTTAAGCCTGAATTTCCCAAATACTGACCAGGATTTTTTCCCTGCACCCTCTAGGTTGTCACTTCTGAATCCTCTTTATTCTGTGCTATGTAAATTGAGTGGTGGTGATGGAGGGATAGGGGTTATCAGGAATTCGGTCCTCTCCCAATAAATGTAACAATGGTCCAACTGCCTACTTTAGCTTCTGGTAGCAAACAGTATTCTTTAAAATATTACATTAGAGTCAAAGCTGGAGAATTATTATTATAGGAGCTAAGTTGTTACCGCAGATTTTGGCTTGCACAGAAAAAGAGCCATTTTCATTTGGAACTCACTTATTGCTAATCCAATATATAGCTCACCCTTCCACAATTGTATATTATGCTGTGTGTAGGTTCACTGTGTATCTTCAGTGAAGGAAACACAAAAGGAGAAATCACCAGATTTCTGCTGCTAGCAAGAAATGATACGTACGCACAAACAGGGCTTCCCTAGTATTTCCAACCACCCCAAGAAAAAAAATTAAAAGTGACACCATGGACAGATTTTCCTTTCTTCAGGATAAGAGCTGCATTTCATTACTCTAAAAACCCCCATTCATTTAAACAACACTCAATGCTTCCTGGTCTGGATATATAAAATTATTGGGTGGCCTCTGCTGGCCATTCATCTGAGACCCTGACATGCCACAGTCGATTTTTGAGAACTGCTCTGCCACTTAATGTGACAAACATCCAGCCTTGCCGTTTAAGGGATCTTTGAGAAAGGCCATCCCCACATGAAATGAATTTAACAGCAGCAATTTGTCATTTTGCCCTTCCTTTGCTGGGGAAAAAAAAATGCTAGTGATTTCTTTTGACTTAAACTGGGCATTCAAAAAGCTGTTTTTATTAATGAATCATATTAAGCCACCAGTGAAAGGCTCCCTGACTCTGTTTAAATAACAGGCTATGATTCCTCTCCCCTCGAGCTCCCCCCCACCCCCATTTGGCTCTGCTGCTATTAATTGAGGAGTTTCTTTGTTTCTTTCCTAATGAAGCCCACAGAACACATCTGTCAGGTGCCCGTATTCTTTGCCTGTCTATAGTATGTAATAGACCAGCTGGAGGCTATAATGCTACACAATACCCCTGGCCGTTACAGCAACTATTTATTCCTGGGCTTTTCCTCCGAAAGGGATTTGAAAAAAAAAAAGTCTGAAATTTGGGCCTAATTGCTATTTACCCAGCGATAGACACCTGTTCTAGCTGAGACATTGGCTCATGAATCCCACACCTGAGACCTTAGGGAGAGTGGAGGGGAAATTTCAAGCAGCTGCCAGTCCATTAGATGTAGAGAGCTTTAACTTTCAGGGTTTGTGTGTTTATATGTATACACATATATTTTAAGATACTGTATGTTTAGTATGCACACCCATAACCAGAGGGTATATATTAAAAGCTGTGTACTATTATTTCATGGTCAATTGCTTATCTGAAGGCTGTACACATACTGGCATACAGCTACAACTGTGAGTCCTTTAAAAATAATGCACCAAGACTGAATTCCATATCAATAACAGCCACATGTCCCTCAAAATATCCATTCTAGGTCTCAGGGGAAAACGGTCCCTTATTTAATCAAACATAACTTTTCTTGGGAAGATTCAACTTTGTCTTAGCCATTTTCTTTGTCAAATAGCTATGACTTCTCTCTTTTGATATGTTGAACTCAGTTTTCCTTTTATCTTGGTTAGAGTAGCGTATCTCTGGTTCTTTATTTTTTGAAGTCAGTAATGATATGTATCCCTTCTTGTTGGTTTGCCTTTACAATGCCTCTTTTGCCTATACATACCTGTAAAAGAGAACTAGACTCTGCTCAGGAAGACAACATTTACTTCTTGCGAAGAAATCAAATACAAAAACAAAAAGTAATTTACAATGGAGATCCTTTGTATTATAATAGATAGACTTAACATATTATACATGTAAAGTAGTAGTTAGAAATTTGAGTTTAATAAAAGGCTGTTAGATTGCAAAAGTACTGCCTTGCATTCATCAGAGAATGAAAGTTACAGGAATAGATGTCTATGTGTGTACACAGATACGTGCATGTGTATGTGTGTGTGCATGTATGTTTTACCTGATGTCACATGTTCAAATTCCATTACCTTTTTTTCTTGCCTGAGGTATAAGGGAAGATTGGGAGTAGAGAGATTTAGCGGAAGCTCATTGGCAACAAAACAATATTGCCCTGCACTTCTATCCAGGCTCTAATCAGAAGACATTCCTGCTGCAGAGAAGTAGAGAGGAGGGCTGGTGGGAACTCAGGGCTTAGATGGGGAAGGAGGAGAAAAGAGTGACAGGCCTTTTTTCTTGTGATGTCTTTCATATATTTTTTCTAGTTGGTGGGACTTCTGAGCCTTTTGATGGATGCCCTATTGGCACTGCTGGAACAGTCTCCCATTTACTTACTGCTAGGGGAAATTTGGCCTTTCTCAGCAAATGAAATAAATGCCACCTAATTTGTTACCAAACCAGAAAATTATTTATTATTTCTCCCAAAGGATACATGAGCTGTATTCAATACTGGTGTGAGAATTCACAAAACAAAAGGGTGAAAGGAGACCCAAATAGAGTACGCAAATGCAAGTCATAAATAAAAATTATCTGAGCGTTATTAATTGTATGTGCAGTGCATGCACACACACACTCACACCACACACTGGCTAAGAAATTCCCTTTGGTCTCATCTGAAACCAGAGATGACCAAGGAGCCAGAGCCTTAGGATTAGCTGGGGCTGCAGGGAGAGGTGGACAGTGTTCACACACAAATGAGTGCCTTGCCCCAGGGCTCACACAGTTGGAGAGAGCTGATGCCGAGACAGAAATTCATTTCCCATGAGGAAGGGGAGAAGTGTGCAGGGAGCTCAGGGTCACACCAGAACAGGTGATAATGAAATTAGAGTTAATGAAGGCTGGAAGAAACTAAGGCCAGATGGGTTGGTGAAACTGTTATCTGAGATGCATGAAAACCAGACACAGCATTGCAGCGTGAGAGAAAACAATGGTTGGAGGCACACAATGGAAAATGCCTGGGAAATATAAGAATCCTATCCTACTCTCTGAAGCAGGTCATCTCTTGGCTTCTATGTTGCAGTATTTTTTTTAAAAGGTTTGTTTCTTTATTTGAAATGCAGCATGACAGAGAGGGTGAGGAGAGAGAGAGAAAGGAGAGGCCCATCATCTGCTGGTTCACTTCCCAAATGTCCCTAGTTGCCAGGTCTGATACTGGGCCAGGTTGAAACCAGGAGCCAGGAACTCCATCTGTCTCCTACATGGGTAACAGGAGTCCAAGTATTTGGGTAACCTTCTCCTGCCTTCCCAGGAGCATTGCAGGGAGCTGGATTGGGAAGTGGAGCAGCTGGGACTTGAACCAGTGCTTGATATGGGATGCTGGTGTTCAGGCTGTGACTTCAACCACTGGGCTAGGAGTTGGAGTATGTGATGAGGGAAAGATGCATAATGCCTGTGGGTCTGTTTCCTCTCTGGGATAATGGAGGCAATGCCTACCTTATTTTCTTGAGAAGACTAAATAAGGTACTGTTTGTAGGACTCATAATGAAGGCAAACATAGTTGATATTGAATACATGGTAACATCATTGTATTTCTTTATGAGCAATAAGGCCATTCTTATTTATATGACAATAAAGGCAATCTAATTTGTCTATGCCTGTAGTTGTGGGCTCTCTAGAACACTAAGAGTGAAAATGCCACACCAGAAATGAGAAATGAGACATTAGTATATCTTGCTGTTCTTAGTAGGTTTTTATACCTGCAGTATATTATGAAAGATAGGGATTTTGTCAGAGGGAGGCAATAAATGAAGTGATACAGAGGTAACCCACAGGAAAGTGTTGAAATACAGCATTTATGCCATAGCAAGGATCAATGCTGCTCCTATAATGAAGTGTATCTTGAACTTGATACAGGTATAGATTGAGACAGCTAAGGCAGGTGTTTCCTCCCAAAGCACCCTATGCACAATGCCAGCCTATTTACTGTGGGGGGGGGGCAGTGGGGGATTTTGTGGGTCATTTCTTGAATGAACCCTTCTTTCTCTGGGGTGTGATTCATTTGCCAGGTCACTTGCAGGAGGACTAAATAGTGGTCTGCAATGGGAAATTAAATAGTGGTCTACAATGGGAAATTAAAACAGAACCAGCATAAAGTTGTGTTCCTCCTCACAGACTGTATCAGACGCAAGGCTGTGAACATTACTGAGTGAACTGTAACAAGCATCTTTTCTGGACAGAAAGATTAAAGGTGCAGAGCTGAAGGGCACCTGGTATAGTGAGCAAGCAACCTTGAGGATGTTGGCTCCAGTTCACGCCATCAGCCAGAGCTTCTCCCAATACACATGCCACACAGCCACGTGCAGGCTTGCACAGTAGCTGTGCCTATCCCTTCCTGAACCCAAGTGTCTGTGCTTCACTTCATTCATGGGGATTGCTTTTTCTCAGGAGTCTCTTTGGCAAGGCCCCCTCCAGCAAGAGTCTGATCTCCAATTTGAGACAAAGCTCAAGATATTTGTCTTCAAAATCACAGAGCCCAGGGAAATCCAGGTACGTTCATGGCCGCTGTTCTGGCTATTCTGAAACACTAGAGTCTGTGATATAGAAGATACTTCTGGAGCAGCCTGTGATATTTGGAAGCTGGTCTATCCAGAACTGCAACTGGGCTTGCAGGGCAGGTGTCCCCTGATTCCTCCTGCCACCTGTGGTCGATAGATATGATAGCAGCCACCAATGAATGATATCCCCTCTGTCCACGCACTGTTACAGTGGGACAGTGCAGCTCCTGCCATTGAGAGGTCAGGGCTGTTTTTTTACTCCTTTGACTTTGATCTGGCCTTGTGACTTCTTTTGATCCACAAAAATGTGTTCCAGGGGGAGTTGTGCTAATTCTGCAGCCCAAGCTCTCACTGTTGCCCTGCTGGAACTAGATTACGTTAGGGAGGAGCTGGATCCAGTGAGGGATGATGTGGAGGACTGAGATACCCAGCTGGCCACCAGCATCAGCTGCCAGACCCGGAAGGGAGCCCATCTTCACCCTCCAGCTTGAGCTCAACATCCAAATGACCACAGCCAACTCTGTAGCCATTTTTTCATTAAGGAAAAAAACTACCAAGATTCAGCCAACACTCAAAAGCTATAAAGATTGCACCCTCCCTGGATAATAATTTCCTTTCCGTTTAATCTGGTACAGATCATAAAGAAAGCAGTATAGTGCTTCAGTGATGAAGTGGATAGATTGTGGAAGCTGATATGGAAGAGTTGGATGCAAATAACATCAGGCCATTCATCTTGTTATCAAGTTGTATTTTGACTTTTTCTCACCTTGATATTTGCTCACCCACTTCACTCATTTCAAATAGACACCTTTACATTTGATTTCTACTGCAAACATTTATGTTCATATATTGAAATATAGTCTACACTTTCTTCTTTTAAAATTTGCTTTTATTGGGGCCAGCGCTGTGGCACAGTGGGTTAACTCCCTGGTCTGAAGCGCCGGCATCCAATATGGGTGAGGGTTGTAGTCCCAGCTGCTCCACTTCTGATCCAGCTCTCTGCTATGGCCTGGGTAAGCAGTAGAAGATGGCCCAAGTCCTTTGGCCCCTGCACCTGTGTAGGAGACCCGGAAGAAGCTCCTGGCTCCTGGCTTCGGATTGGCACAGCTCCAGTCGTTGTGGCTTTCTGGGGAGTGAACCAGCGGATGGAAGACCTCTTTCTCTGTCTCTACCTCTCTCTGTAACTCTGTCTTTCAAATAAATAAAAAAATCTTTAAAAATTGTTTTTATTTATGTGAAATACAGAGAGAGAGAGACTAAGATATCTTCCATCTGCTGGTTCACTCCCCAAATACCTGCAACAGCTAGGGCTGGGCCAGGCCAAATTCAGGAGCCTAGAACTCAATTTTGGTCCTTCAAGTGGGTGATGGTGACCTAAGTATAGGAGTCATTTCCTGCTCTCTACCAGAATGCACAGAAGTAGGAAGCTATAATTGGAAGTGGACTCAAGACTTCAACCCATGGCTGGCGCCGTGGCTCAATAGGCTAATCCTCCACCTGCGGCACCTGCACACCAGGTTCTAGTCCCAGTTGGGGCGCCAGATTCTATCCCGGTTGCTCCTCTTCCTGTCCAGCTCTCTGCTGTGGCCCGGCAGTGCAGTGGAGGATGGCCCAGGTCCTTGGGCCCTGCACCCACATGGGGGACCAGGAGAAGCACCTGGCTCCTGGCTTTGGATCAGCGTGATGCGCCAGCCACAGCAGCCATTGGGGGGTGAACCAACAGAAAAAGGAAGACCTTTCTCTTTGTCTCTCACTGTCCACTCTGCCTGTCAAAAAAAAAAAAAAAAAAAAAAAAAAAAGACTTTAACCCAGGAACTCTAACATGGGATGTGGGTATCCCAACTGGGATCTTAGCCATTGCCCCAAATGCCTACTCTACACTTTTAATTTCTTTCTAAAATAAATGTGTTTGTCGTTTTAACAATGCCTATATGAGGGTATTTCAAAAACTTCATGGAAAATAGAATTAAATGGTAAGTTTATTTTGGTGCAAAATTTTTGATTTTCATGCATATTTGTTTCATAATACATGTTTTTCATGAATTGTTTTGCATGTTCTCATGGAAGGTAGGCAAGCTGTCACCATATTGATTGTACACTGAAGACAGAATCCACCACAGTCTGGGCATGGATTGGAGTGTGGTGGGACAGTCCTGACTAGCAAAGCTTTGGTAGGAAGAGCCCTCATTGCCTCCCTGTTAGTTTTAGGTGGGAGTCTAAGACAGATTGTGCAAGTTCTAGATGGGGGCAGAACACTGGAGGGACTGCAGTGGGGGAATTTTCTTTATGTCAAGGGAAACAAATTCCCATAGAAGCATTCCAGAAGCTCTTCGCAATGATGGTGGTAGAGAAAGATTTCTGAGCACTGGGGAGAATTTTAATTAGGCTGCTATGGCTACCCACAGATAGCATCAAACGACTTCCACTTGGCTGCCTAGCTGGAGAATGACGGCTCTGGATGTGATCAAAGCCCCCCTGAGTTCTCAGGGGTCCCCCTCGAATCCAGCTCGTCGTAGCTCATTTCGATGCTGTGCCGTGTTTGGCAGAGCTCCGGAGTTGCTTTTCCTCCCAGCGCTTAACCTCTTTCCTCCTAAGATACAAATGTCAATATTGGATTTAGTCTGGTTGAATGGATGTGTCAGAGGGGAGATTAGTGACTGGCAGCCACAATAGGGTTTTTCAATTGGCAAAAGTAAATTTCTCACAGATGAATCAAAACAGTTTGAGGTGGAAAAGAAGCCGGGAAGAAAACCTTGCCAAATTTAGTCATGATGCCTCATTAAATGGATCTGAAGACTTCAGCATGGGTATTTCATCCAGAAGCTACTGGATTCATCCAGCAGGAGGCTAAACAAGGGAGGGGAAAGGGCATCAGCATCAATATTGCCAACCAGGCTATTTTGGTGAAAAGTTTTGGTCTATTGTCTCTTTTTCTATCAAGAAGCCATCTACAGCTTTACTTCAAATGAGGGGAAGGTCTAGCATGTTGGAACAATCCTTAGACCATTGAACATTATAAATTCAAATGGTGGAAAGTTTTTTTTTTTTTTGGTTGCTACATTAGCAGTCTTAAAAATTGGTTGTGCTCTTCACTTTACTGTTTGTTTGCTTTGCAAGCTTTTGAACAGTCATGCACCCCTTCTTTGACTGCTTGGAAATGAATGCAGGTGATTCCTACCACAGAATATCCCTTTTTTTTTTTTTTGACAGGCAGAGTTAGACAGTGAGAGAGAGACAGAGACAGAGAGAAAGGTCTTCCTTCCGTTGGTTCACTCCCCAGTTGGCCGATACTGGCGGTGCACTGTGCCAATCCAAAGCCAGGAGCCAGGTGCTTCCTCCTGATCTCCCATGTGGGTGCAGGGCCCAAGCACTTGGGCCATTCTGGGCCACAACAGAGAGCTGGACTGGAAGAGGAGCAACCGGGACAGAATCCGGCTCCCTGACTGGGACTAGAACCCTGGGTACCGGCGCTGCAGGTGGAGGATTAGTCTAGTGAGCTGCGGTGCTGGCCAGAATCTCCTTTCTTACCCAATTCACACTTCTTGTAATAATTGGTAAGATCCATGCTTCTGTGGTCATGTTTACATTTCAAGTCATTTTAGGCAATTATATGCACATCTATTTCAGGCAACTGGTATTCTTCCTGGAAGGGGACTAGAATGACAATTTATTGATCATTTATTAAAGCAGTCCTGAGTTACCCTATCTAGCTTTAGCAAAACACATTAATGGTCAAAGTTTCCTGAAGGAAACTTAAAGTTTGGGAAAATGATGCAGAAGTGCCATCTTATTTCACAGTCAACACGAAGATTCCAGAGAGCTAAACAAAATTACTTAGAAAGGTGGCCTCCAAATCCTAAGGAAACATCATTTACAGACATGATCTGCTTCATTTAAATCTTCTAAATGTGAAACTTTTGCCAACTGGCTGAAGAAGACAGTCAATTTGTTGAAGTTTCACCTTAGAACTTAGAAATGGCCCTGGGTGGTTCCCCAAGTTGTCTATTCCACAAGATAAAAGAAGTTTCTATTTTGTAGGACACATGAAAAAAGCTTCAATTTTTGTACTTATAAGGAATTATTAGGCTGCAAGAGTTAGGATTAGATTTGGTCACATGTAACAAGGTCCCGCCAACAATAGTGTCTGGAGCAAACAAGGCCCATTTTCTCACATGGAGTCAGTACAGGGCTTCTGCAGTGAGAGACTGATGAGGCAGCTCCACATTTAATCAGGACCCTTGTGCCTGCTGTTTTGGCATCCCGCCACCTTACCCTGGCACTTTAACAAGCCACCAGTTACTTGCAATCCTAAAGGTTTTAAGATGCTCACAATTTTGAATAAGTAGGGGAGTAGAAATTTAACTAGAATGAATAAATATAAATAAGAAATAAGGTAGATTTATTCTTTCTAGAGTTTAGGAAGAGTGAAGTCAAGGGAAAAAAAATGTGCGTGTGCTGGAATAGTAGTGCTTCCACCCCTACCCTTGCTCTCCTTTCTTTCTGAGTTAGCAGGTTAGTAAGCTCAGGTGCTCTCTGCAGTGTTGTTTCAATCTCCCCCTCCTTGCCTTTCCCTTCTTCACTTCTTTTATACCACTGCCCCAACACTGACCCCTCTTGAACCATTGCAGAAAATTTGGAAGTGGTGTTCTCCTCCAGCTTTTCCAAAGCATGGCCCTCGTCTTGCCATTTTCCCTTGAACACTCAGCAGTTCTCATTGGAAATTGGATAGACTTGGAACTCCTTAGCCAGAATCTAAGGCTCTTTGGTCTTTCCAGTGTTTCCTACAAAGACTGTTCTCTGTCCCCAGCTAAATTATTCACTTTACATCCCTTGTGCTCTGTGCTTTTATGTCTTGATGTATTTTTGTTTTGTTTTGTTTTCTTTCTAAAGATTTATTTTATTTATTTGAAAGAGTTACAGAGAGAGGTAGAGACAGGGAGAGAGGTCTTCCATCTGCTGGTTCACTCCCCAGATGGCCGTTGTGGCCAGAGC